GGAATATTGCGTTGTCAAAAGGTTGAGCATAATCGTAAAATTATATCAGTGATCTGATAATTATGTATATTTATTTTACTTAACTTTTCATTAATAACTGACTTTTCTTTATCAGATTGTACGTTTTAAAGTTGTTGTTGTAAATGCTGAATCAACCACAAACCTATATACTGTGATGTTTGTGCGGTTAGCCTATGTGGCTCTTACAGTTTCATCTGACTCTTAATCAGCTGCAGCCCTGCAACTGATTAAAAAGGGAAAGGCAATGGTGATGAGGAGGATAATGATGATGGTTTATGATTTGATATGGTTATCAATCATCATATCGCCTCTGTGGTGGTTCTTGAGCTACTAAAAGTATAGCTACCTCTTCCATTATGCCATGGCTCGTTAGTGATCGTGAGCATAGAGTGAAGTGAACGTGAACCTTCAATGAGACTTTGAACATTGACATTTTAACAATTTATCATAGTTTTTCTTATTAAATATAAATTTTTAAGTTACTTACACTGTTTTTTTGGCTTTAATCTATCGTCACCCCTCGCTGTCTTTACCAGTAAGGTGAAAGATGTACGGTGAAACGTAGATATTTCTCAAAGCTATATATGTATATAATTTTGTTAGCTAAGCAGTCTGAATAACACAGCGCTTTTATGGGCCAGTACTCGACAAGCAGTGCATTTTAAGCATTCATATCAAGGAGTCGTTTTTCCTTATCTTTTTAAATACCGTATCAAGTCATTCAATCATAGCAAACTTTATATGATCTATCGTCAAGTGTGGGAATTGCACCCTGCACAGACAGATACTCAATGGTGGCATTGAACTTTTATTGGGTGAATTTGGCCTCAATATTGCTTATGAAGTTGCAGACTAATGACAAGTCAGTAGCGAAGGTGAAAGGTGCCTGAGCAGCGAGTTTGGGCTTTAGAGCCTGAAAAGAGGGTGCAGGCCGTGAGGTGGCTGCACTTACAATCACCGGGGGCTTGACCCATGCGTTCGTATTTGGCGCTGAAGGGCTTGGAAATCCCATTAATGGGGGTCTTTGACGATAACCTGAGAGGGCGCGGGTTGGGCGGGTTGGGTGGCATTCTGCCCCTTTAGTCACATCGAGATCGGTGCGACTGAGGGGGTGTAATGCCTATAGGACGGGATCTGCTATCGATAGCCACTCGTCCGCGCTGGTCTTCTCCTCCGCATCGTTTTCTGCGCGCCGCTTTGGTACACTCGCGATATTTCCCTGGGTGTCCCGCTTCACTGCACAGAACGCAGCTCGGAGGACCTTCAGATTCGGGCGTTCAGACGCTTAACGCATCTAGGTCGGGTGAAATAGCGTTTGGGCAAGTAGGCCTAAAGTTGGCATCGGTGGCATTAACCAACAGTGCCCATGTTGCTGGGAGCCTGTGCTGCAATATCCGTGAGGTTGCAAATTCAGAAGACCAGGCATAAATCTAGGTAACTTTTGGCAGTGGGGTGGTGCATTCTGTGTACTTCAATGATAGGGAAATTTTGTGATTTTCAATTTTGAGATCGCATAGCGTATGTTCAACTTCAAGCCCCTTGGGGAGCCTGCGAACGACAACCAGGAGATTGTGGTCCTCCGTGAGGGAGTAAGTATGGAAGCTCAGATTCTGAGCTATACGATGCACAGTTAAAGCACAGAAGTCATACGTCGTAGAGACGTATATATAAGTAGAGCGTATGCCCTGTGAACCATTGTGAACCTTGGGCTGAAGATTTTTTGGTCTATCCACTTGGATAGATTAGTCCTACGGGATTTATCCTATAGAACAATAGGAGCTGGCGGTTTTTTCTTTGCGGTCAGAGGTCTATTTCGGGTTCGCGGTTTTATTCACAGTTTTATTAAATTTTTTGGCCGAAATGGCGTTGGGGCCCGAAGGGGTCGAATAAGACTCGTCTCCCTTTTTTACTGCGGGGCATCTACGTTTCTTGCCCGAGACGAGGGTGAAGCCGTCATCTTCTGGCTTTGCAGTTTGGCTACGTCTAAGTCCATTAGTTGCGTCCGAGAACGCAGAAGGCGCGGCGTAGCGGAAGCGGTCCGGTACTAGGCGACATAAAATCTACGATACGCATGGTTGGACGTTTAGCAGCGGGCATGTCCCACTGTGCAAAAAGGTAGCCCAAGAATCGGGCAGACGCGACTGAGGAAGTTGGTAAGTACGGCTATAGTGAAAGCTGCCATCTTTTTAGCGTTTAACAACGCTTGTGTACCAAGCTCCCTCACCTTATTTAAATACTTAATAATTTTATACAATAGAATAGTCACCTCTGAGGCGGCGACTGTACAATAAACTACTTACAGTTTAATGGAAATCTGCAGAGCGTGGGGCACTATACTAAACATAATACAAAAGCGACGATGAACTTGCGGGCCGATGCAACCTGACAACTGCAATATTGTGCAACACCACTGAAGCACTTCCGAGAAAAATCGGGTTTATTGTCTTTTGCACAATAGCACTTTGTTATCCGGGAGTGAATGGGTCCGACCGATGAAACAACTCCGCGTAGTTTGAGCACAGACAACCCTGCGGCTCGTGATTTCGATGTGTACGTAATTTTTAGAATACAAATATAAAATAGTGCATTATATTTAAATGTTGTACTGTGTACGATAAAGTGAGTGCAGAGAATTGGAGCCCTTATTACTGGCAAAAAAACATGCCATCTTAGTCATCATGGCTAACAGCCCATATGCATTTCGATTCTCAATCAAGGATAGATGTAAATTTCTGTTGTCTACAACATCCCTTTAGTGGCACTGCAAGTGGATTGTGTGGTCATTGTTAGATCATTTTTATATAAAAAGGGTGACCAACACCCTTGTGTAATATATGCATGTAAGTTTTTCTCCTTCTTCTAGAGTTTTAACAAGACTACTTCATGCCTTTGATCTTAAAGGTTTTTTTAACACACAGCGTTATTTTAGTCTATTTATAGACAAATATACCCAAATGAGATGGCAAATTAGTAATTTTTACAGAAATTATTTTTTTATGTCTGCATATTCCTATTTTGAGCAATACAGTGATTCTAATCCCGCGTTTGATCGTACCCTTAATTTGGTTAAATAATTCATAAAGCATAACTTCTTAGCACAGAGTGCATAGATTAATATTGAAGTTAAAATTTGTTTTGTCACATCGTGAAAAATTTTTTCTTTAATCGTCACGTCGGTTAAAATAGGGGATGAACATTGTAATGTGACTGTTTAGACAAGATTTTAGTTGTTGCACTTACACCTAGAGCTTGTAATTTTCCTAAGTCCTCTCAAAAGCGTTAAAACTTTAAACTTTTGACAAAAAGTAAAATCGATTTCAAAGAACTGATAAAAATATCCCCATACCAGCTTCTGAAATCTGTGGTTTTAATACTTGGATGCTCAATGAATATTTCAGTATCGAAGCTGGGCGTCGGAGAGAATGATCGTGACGAAACCTGCAAGTCTAAAAAATTAAACAAACTGAAGACTAGATGTCCGCCAATAAAAAATAAAAATATAGGTCTAACCCCAGCAGTCTTAGCCAATAATGAAAATATTTTTTTAGGAAAGAGGAGGGGAGAGGTAGAAGAATCATGCACGAACATTCTATCGTGTGAAAAAGCAGCATTATTTTTGCCAAATGGCGAGAACTCGTAAGCCTTTTACTGGTAACGGGCATTCATAATACATTCATAATACATTATCTTGGTCCTAAAGAACACATATGCATTTTGATGCTTAAGCAAGGATAGTCGCAGGAACCTATAGTGCATCCATTTATCACCAGGGGATATTTGCTTGCTTGTTATCTGTGTTTTATTTAAATATTTTTTAATGGAACTAATTATATTTTTTATAATTTAGCTGATGTTGTATAGTAATGGTTTTATTTAAAACTAACACAAAAATTCAATGATTTATTCTCGGTACATTCAAAGCATTTCTGGGTGCCTTTATGTTATAATTAGAATATTATTATGTACACTTTAATAAAGATACAGCATTGAGTCAGTTAAGTTTGTCAGATTAGAATGATTTAGCATTATTATGACTTGAACGCTAGTTTATACTCGCAAATTTACAGTTTATTAATACATGTATATAAATAGTTGTATGCTTATTATATTAGAACAGTTTTTAATAATACAAAACATTGATTGTAAACAAGAACAATTCTGGCTAAAAGAATAGGAGTGCTCACTGATATTCCATTTCATAAATTACACTTATTTATTTGTTTAAAAATCACAAATTTGAAAGTACATAATAAACACTATACAATTAATATATATTTTAGGGAAATACAAAAATGAGATGCTAAATTAATGAGAATCCTTAACGGCGTGTATCAGATTTTATAATTTTCAATGTCACAAAATTTGAAGAACATCATGATGCGAAGATGCTTATTGCTTATGTTAAAAATTATTTTATAGAAAACTGTTCAAACATGGCTGTTTTAGCAGAGTGATGATTTGCATACATCCATTATAATACCTTACACTAGCGTAAAACAGTGCATTTTCATCAATATACACCGATATTTTCTCGGTCAAAAATATAATATTTCTTTTACTTTCACTACAAAATGTTATTATTAAATTAGTTTTCTATCTAAGTTTAAAGTTAGATATTTCACAAGCATTCTAATCCGATATTGAAAAGATTTTTTATTTTATATTTTCAAATCCAAATACAATGTTTTTAATATTACTATTATAAGTAAACAATGTATCGTTTAATTAACAGCAATTTATTTAATATAAACTAAAGAATGATTGTTACACTTTTCAAGTGCATCAATACCTACCTGCTTGCCTAATATCTAACTTTAAAAAACCTTAAATATTAGTTGCGATATTGTCGGCATACTTTTACAACTATTTTCAATAATTTCAGGCGCAATTAGCCTAGACATTTATACAATTAGCATCACATCAGTCAGATATATTATTCATCATATATTGAATGAAATTTCACGAACCAGCAAAAATAGTTAAAACGTTTTGATAAGCTCTGAGTGTGATGCTGTGAGCTTTGGGATGATGTTATTGTCTTTGATATTTTTCTCTTTTCTGTGCATTGAGATGTTTTTGCCTTTAAGTCCGATTTCAGACTGGTTTTGCGTAGTTTTGATTTGTGATAAAATTAATAGCCTACGCTCTTTTATTTCACACGTTTTGATAAGACACGCATTGTTACCAGGTTTTTCACTTTTGCTTATAACTTCTTGTTTGACACTTTTTGATTTAAGATCGTTATTGTCAAAAATATACTCCTTTTGTTTTAGTTCTTCGTTATTCTTTGATGATCCAACATCGATAATCAGCTGGGAGTGGTCGAAACATGTTGCATATTTCTGTTTCAAAAATTAAATACAGTTTTTTTAGTTCGGAAATTAGTCACCAAATACACAGTGATTTAGTAATAATAATTAAAATTTTACGTAAGAAACCTGGAATATCTGAAATGAAAATTAGTTTAAAGATCTACAGCCATTTTACCACACCTACCGGTGTTATATACTCTTTGCAAAAAGTAACGAAATAAATTTACAATTAATTAAAAGAACAAGAAGATAGGGCTTCTTTTTGCCCAGAAGTTCATTTGGAATAGTATCAGGTATCTACATTCTGTAGGTGTAAATACTCAATATAGGAAGTTCCGTTAAAAAAATTGCCTATATACGCCCCACTACTGGTCACAGGCCTCCTCTCATTTCTGAGAAAGTTTTAGGGCAAGGAAGTGTCAACAGCGCTGCTCCAATGAGTGTTGACGGACTTTACACGTCTTCAATTATTTTTCAATATCTTAAACATGCAGGTTTCCTCACTATGTTTTCCTTCACCACCGAGCACGTGGTAAATCGCAATTAACAAAAATTGCAATTAACAATTTCATTGGTGCCTTATGAAATTTACAGCGATCGCTTAGCCCCCGAGCTACCACGGTTCAGCTCCTCAGCTACACATCGCACACTTAGTTCTTCACCCAGTTCTGTGTTCCAGTTCAATGGGTAAGGAAGCTGATCCACTTTAATAAGGTGCTGTAAATAATACCATCTTATTTCTCAGGGCTGACAATGCATATGTAATATTCTTGGTAGTTAGTTCATATGATTTCCGCTTGAAGTAGAAACCTACCATCACCCCCCTGAACGGGTTCCCGCCTTGTCGTGGCGGGGGGTTTTACTGTCCTTGACTCGGTCAATAATAATTAACAAAGAGGAATCCACATAGCTGGAGCGAGGGCTGCCCTGAGGTGTCCACTTCGGATGTGTGTTAGTGGACTGCGGCGGGACGGGTGACCTCTTTATCCTATCCGTGCCAGTGCAGCGGTGGGACGCCGAGTAGCAGACGCATAGGAAAACGAGTGTTGGTATGACGATGTGCCATTCTCCATACCCTCCGCGGCCGAAACTTGGTTGGCTGCAGAGCCACAGATCAGATCCGGAAAAGGAGTCATCCCACGAGTATAAGCTGCCATGGGGTGACCGGTACTAGTGGGACCGCGAATATGTGCAAAAGTGTTTCCGTGGCCCTGCTAATATGCAGCGAAATTAGAACACCGTGGGGTTTTAGTCGGTGCGAGCCCGATGTAACCCGCGCTTGCCACCGCAAGACGGGCATGCGTAGGCATTTCCCATTAAAAAAAAATAGGAATTTATAGTAATGTTAGCTCATTTGTAACTATACCATAAAAATAATATAAAAATTGTACAAAAATAATATAAAAATATTTCTATGTATTAATTTAATAATTTAGATAGTTACAATTGGATTTACTGCTTTACTGTAGATTTGAACTCGACCTCCCAACTCCATTTTGAGCTGCCAATCTCTCAAGTACAGGTGAACTGCGGCCATATTGAGCCATCCTCTACGCCACGTTTGAAATCTAATACAGAAAAAAATGCATAAGTATATTTAGGTATGTTACTTATGTGTTTATAAATACTCGAAAGCAGTTAATGATTTTTGAATACGTGATTAATAGTAAATTAATAATATAAAGTAATTGATTAATAGTAGGTTCTGAAAATTTTAAATCAATTAAAATAAATTATTAACATCAAAGATACCTGACAACAATATGGTAATCATGTTAATAATTATTTGCCATGTAGTGGCGGCGCAAGAAAAATTCATAATCGCATTTCTTCTCATTGGTATCTCAAAAGGTGACTATGAGAAATTTCAGAAAAACATTGTCATGGACATGCATTCAACCATCTCACTTAAGCTAGAATAAAATATCCAGACCGAAGACGAGCATCAATGGTGCAAAGCGTCTGGAAGTGCAATTGTCTAGTTGCCCGTAGAATAGGCTTTTACGGGATGACTAATATGAAAAATAAAAAAATTAAGACGATTTTTTTTTACTTCGTTTCTAAATTAATATAAGTATAACGTTTGTATTCTGACCTAGTTAAAAGTTGCAAAGTCCTTGATTTTTGTCCCAGTTTTCTATACATCAAAGCAGTAGATCGAAATGAAATCAGATCCCCCCTTAATGAAGTTTCAATATTTCGATTTTTAAGTGCAAGTCTTGTTGCTTCAAGGTAGAACTTGGATGCAGGTCCAGCAAAACCTGAATAAAAAAATATAATAGGAAATTAAACAAATGCCTTATTTTCATATCGGCTAACGTTCTTACCGTGAGGAAAACATAGAGTGTAATAAGTCAATGAAGTGGAACATGTTATAGCCGTGGTAGTCAGAGGCTAAACGCTCGCTGTAAATTTCACAGTACACGAGCAACCCGAGTTCGATCCCCACCGGCACCAATAAAATTGTTGGTTGCAATTTTAATTGCTCATTTACCACGTCCTCGGCGGATAATGAAAACATCGTGAGGAAACCTGCATGTCCGAGAAATAGAAAAACATATTTCGAAGACGTGTGAAGGTTACTTATAAGCATTGGGGCAGTACAGTGTCCACCGTACTGCCCTTGCCCTTAAACCTTCACAGAAATGACAGAAGGCCTGTGCCCAGCAATGGGATGTATGTTATGGGTTATGTCTTAAATTTAACTATAAATAGGGTTTTTTTCAAATTTAATGTTTTTGTCGTTGATATTGGATCAAATTGATATATCAATAATACCACTAAAGGGCAGTATAGATTTAACCTATCAGCCGGTTGAAGGTTAAGGTCAAGGGCGGACAAATTCCTATTAAAAGGAAATATAACCTCAAATGGCTTACCAAGATCATCCGTTACGCCGAAAATATTGCAGCATTAATTTTGAAATAAATATATGGTAAAGTTGAGGATTAATGTTAAGGATTATGTTAGGCGAAAAGACGATTCCGTAAAATTTTCTCGATAGAAAAAAATCCAAAATTACCTCCAAAGTAAACAATTAACCGTTGTTATTCATAAAATACTCTAAATAAGATCATGAAACTTTGCATACTAACTGAACTAACTATGAAGCAGTGCTTATGTTATTTACTTTTTTTAAAATACCATTATTTTCACTGTAAAAAGAAATTACCTAAATTATCGGCCTCTTGAATCGTGATTCCTGCCGCCCGGTCAGTTTCGCTTCGGCCTTTGTAGGGGGAGGTTGTGTCGCTTACGATCAGAATACACATTACGCAACAGGACGACGTAAAATTAAAATGGGAAATAACCGTAATAAAAATAAGAAGCGACTGGCTTGGCGTTAAGAAACATGCATAAATATGATAAACCTAATGAAATAAGTGTCTAACGCCCTATCTACTTACAGTATTTGTGATTACAAACATGTCGGTACATAGCCGCGGACGAAACGCGCGGGGAAGTGGGGACGAAATTAGAATTTGAGCTGACTTACTATATCCCCTTAACTTCATGCCATACTTTACGTATGGTGAACACGATTTGAATTTCTTTATTATGAATAACTTTTGTAATTTAATTTTTAGGGCAGCGACCTGCCCCGTATTTGCTTGAATAGGGCCTATTAATGTGGCTTTATTTAAATTTAAGGTAGTTAAAAACCATTTGTTTATCAATTTTTCTCCTTTTTTTGAGAACGTTTTAGTTTTTGAAAAAAATGTAGCCTAGATAACTCCAGACATAGCTCTAAATTATCTTTTCATGAAGCTACGTTACAATCAGTTCTGCCATTCTAAAGACTAGCTTGGACAGACAAGCAGACGACGTTTTAAAAGATGGTTGTTTATGTATTTATTGCAAGAAAATAACCCAACGAACTTACGAGATTTTTAGCGCACGAGAGACTTTAAGCGCATGTAGTAATTCCATAGCAATCGAACAACTCTGGTAGGATTCCCGCCGATAAAAAAAAACTAATCTTGAGTGTTACTTTACCATATCCTTAGTGATGAAGGAAAACATCTTAAGTAAACCTTTATATTAGATGAATGAATATATTTCGAAGACATCATGTGAAGTCTGCCACATAGCTTATCAAGTTGAGCAGCATTGCCGATTAATTGCATCATAACCCCTCTTAGAAATAAGAAGAGGGCTATGTCGTCATTAATGAGACATAAGTATGTGGCCGAGGAGAGAAAGGCAAGGTGTTCTGCCCGGGGAGCGGCTATGGCTCCGTGTGATATTTCTGAGCTATTCTATATATACTGTTTTTGATTTCGAACTTTGATAGCGCGATTTAGGTTTCGGTGTGCAATGTGAAATGCTTGTGACGAGACGACAGCGCCGCTATAAGTACATATCAAAGGCTGTTCTTCGTTAACTATTCTAAATTTTATTGATTTTTTTTACTGTAATGTTATTTTACCTTTTTCTTTCAGCCAATTTCCATTTAAAATATAAAATTCCCAATTATCAGGCTCCAGTTCTATTAACCTCCATAAAACCTTCTGCTTTTCTGGTTCGGGTGTCAGTGAGACAAGTTCTAAATGAGCTTGAACGAACTGAGGGCGAAGGAGTATGCATTTCTCCAGCATTTCGATGGCTTCCTTTGTTTGACCAATTTTTCTAGAAATTAACACAAGCAGGTTTAAATTGCATTTTAAAATGTTATTACCAATAAACCGTAATAATATAGCATTAAAACAACTTCGGACACAAACAGGATTCGTAATTCATATTTAAAGTCATCTTTATTACTCTGTGACAGTTGACAGATCGACATTGAGGACGGATTGACGATCACGGTACCAGGCGTCTGAAACCCTTGGCGCTGTTGCCATAGTAGTCTGGGTATTTTAAGTATGGAACAAGAGAGAGAGAGAGAGAGAGTCAGCTCATATACACGCACGGGATGAAATGGAGTGATGAATTGTCTTAGGCCCCCATCACACAGGTACAACAGTCATAATTTAAAAGACCAAAATATATACAATTTTAAAATCAAGCCTAAACGTAAAGTTCAATCTTTGGATATGTTGACAAAATAACTTGGGGTAAATGTATTGTCATCTTATATTTATTATGTGAAAAAAGATTACTAGTGAAGTCTTATATTTACGCAAATAATATAAGTTCATGTTATTGTAACTGTAAATATATTTAGGCTTGTCCCTGATATTTAATCAAACATGATTTTATTTATTTGTTTTCTCAAAGAAACTTCGAGCTCATTTTTTTTAAACGTTAACCCCACACTAGGATTTTCTCCTGTATCGTGGAGGTAGTTTACATACATATATTTCACAAGTACAAACATCCAGACCTGGAACAATTACTTGTAGGCTATACAAATACTTGTTCCGTGCGGGATTCGAACCGGCAGCCCTCAGCACTATAACTCATTGCTAAGCTACTGCAATACGGAGCCGTCGAAACACAGTCACATTTGACTGTAAGATGAATATTAACAATAAATTAGCCAGAACAGTTCCCAACGTTAAAAATTACATGGCGTAAACTTTAGGCATAATTAAATGAAGTACGTATTGATTTCTTATATTTACGCGAACATTGCACATGATTAAAACTACTTTTACGGATTTTATCGCAAACAACTTTTTACTAGCCTGATTTAAGATCTTGGCGCTTCCTCGAATGTCTTTTTTAGTGGATATCTTGACACACGTAGGAATGAGATTATGATCTCTGCATCTCTTCAAGAAATTTAAAGCTGTTATGTATCTTGCGCGCTTGGTCTTCAGATCTTCTAATCGGCGTATTTTATTTGCTATTTCCAGTCCGTACTGGTTAACATAATGATTTCTTATAGCGATAAAATCCGTAAAAGTAGTTTTAATCATGAATTACATATATTATGTGTTCTGCTAAAGAGAAAAACATACTTAATGCATGCCTAATAGCAATGTTAGTAAAGGTAATTTTATATTCAGAGAGAGAACATGAAGTACACACACCGCATAAGCATGATCAATATAATAAATATGATTTTTTTTTATAGAATAGGGTGACAAACGAGCACGCAGTCCACCTGATGGTAAGTGGTTGCTGCGGCCCAGAGACATCTACATCTATCCTCCATTAAAAATCAAAATACAAATGCGTTGTCACCCGTGAGGACTGAGATGGAATGCCTCGTTTCCAGTAAAAAAGGGTCTCCGGTTCTCTACACTCACCATACGAAATACAGCAGCATTAAGACTATTTCACGCTGGTATTCTATGTGATATACTACAAATCCTCCCAAAAGAACATATTTCCACCAAAGATGATTCGTAAGGCTAATGAAATCCAAAACATTCTATGCAATAGAAGATGTCTGGTTTTTTTACGTGGTAGAGCTCCACTGCGGCTGTATTACGGTTGTGGCACGAATGGATCGGCTTGACCGAGGTAGAACCAGACTCTCACAGAATTCCAGCGTAAAATAGCAGCTTTACGCCGCTGTGTTCCGTACGGTGAACCGGAGACCCTTTTTATTGGAAACAAGGTATATAATTTCAGTCCCCAGGGGTGACAACGCGTCTGAATTTTGATTTAAACAGAGAATAAATGTAGATGTCTATGACCCACAGCATCTACTTACCATCAAGTGGACTGTGTGTCGGCCCGTTTGTCACCATTATTTAAAGAAAAATACCATCTGCTTGGGATGATTAATAAAGTTAAAACTTTATTCGGGCACACCAATCCAAGACTTTAAGATACTATAATTAAGTTTCTACTGCACAGATTGTATCAATAATGAATAATTCTAATCTGAAAGTAGCCGAGACTAACTACGAAAATGAGACATTTAACATTAACATAGTCTCGCCGTGACAATGGGTACTAGAAACTTAGAGAACATAAAATTAGTAAATTAAATGCGAAAAAAATCGTAAGAAAAACTGATTTAGGTCAAAAGATCTGCTGTAAACTATAAGTAGCTACTCTTCTTGAAAAAACTTATCCAAGTTTCGTAAAATATTTCATTCTAACTTCAAAATATTTTCGAAATTTGTGGTCCTGTTAAGAAAATGCATGGGCAGAGGAGATAATATTTAAAATGAAATTATTTGTAGAATTTAAAGCATTTAATTTTCAAACCGTTTTGGATATTTTGCATTTACCTCGGTCAGGGTTAAACAATTACCGGACGTCCTGATATCCGGACTAAAGTTAAACGAATTCTAGAATTCCTCGGAATTAGACATTCCGAACTAAAGTTATTCCGAGTTGCTATGAAATCGCCCGTTACAATTAAAGATAGTCTGTAAAGCTAGTTTTATTAACTTTAAGCCATTCACTGCCCCGTGTACTACATATAGGTCATTTCCATTGTCTTATTAGAGTCACAGCTCTTTAGAGCCACCTGGCACCCGACCTTCACCGCCTCGCCTCGAGCGGTTCGTATTCTTCGTATGGATTTGTATGGGCCCGCGCTCACTACATCAACTCCGTACCATCACCGGATCGCCTCGCTCGCGAGGTGTCCACGCGCGGACTGCGCGTGGACCACTCGATGATAGCTCGCTGTTGGCATGCATGCCTCGCGCGAAACGCGAGCTGGCAACGCGCGTTTCACGCGAGTGCGATGCAGCGCTCTCCACCAACTCTTCATCGAGCATTTCTTTCGAATGTGTCGGATGCATTGTTGTTTGTTTTTAAAATGAACAAATAAAAACTTGTAAAAGAAGGTCGGAAGTATAATTTATTGTATGATTTAAGGGTCACTCGTTGATCACGCGAGGTCCACTCGTTGACGACGCGAGGTCCACTCGATGATCACGCGAGGTTTACTGGTGACAACGCGGCATCCACCCGTGGTCCACGAGTGTCGACTACGAGTGGACGCCTATGACGAGGTGGTGAGGGTCGGGTGCCGGGTGGCTCTAATGAGTTGTGACCTTTATTGTGTATGAAAATCGAACAGTGAAAGTATTAAAATTAATATTTCTGTTAAGTGATGTTATACCGCCCTCTACGGTTCTCATCTATCCTTCAATATAATAATCCATCATCACACCCTTAAGGAGAAATGGTAGAGGGGTTACGAATGCTCTTGAGCCGCTTATCATATGGCAATTGAAATGTGTACCTACAGTGGCTGTATGTAATTAGTGTGAACAAATGGAAATTCAATATTGCTATGATGAATATTATCAAAAAGTTTACGGGCCAGCGGTAAGCGGCCACTGCAGCTCACAAACACTTCTATTAGCAATCACCGAAGGTGTGTTGGTTATATACATACATAAACTTTCATGACCGTCACCAGGAAGGGAAACAGAGATTTTGAACCATTCTGACACATCTCTCTTACTTCTTTAACTTCCTTATATCTACGCATATGTAGGTCAGTTAAGGGTATTATTACCTCTATTTCTATTACCTCTGAGAAATATTTATAAGTATTGCTTTTTATACCCTAGAAACCGAAACACTACATTGTTCGCAATGATTTTTGTCCTTGTGTAAACCACCACCACGATACTGGAAAAAATCCTTCTTAATGTTTTATTTTACTTTTCAATTGTTTAAGAGGACAGTTCTTAAGACTGGAAGGAAAGAAAAGGAGTCGCTACCCCTCTTACCATCACCTAAGCATTTTGTTTACATTTTTCCATAGAATAGAAAATTTATATCACTAAAGTATGAAGATGTTATGACACAAAATATTTTAAACAGTAGCACAATAGCTAACAGCGGGTCCGAATTACGCACGTAACAAACGCTTGTATGACCAACAAGTTATTATTCTGGGTCTACATGTTTTTTCCATGTCCAATTTATGTATAAACAGCCCTTTACGATATAGGAAAAAATGCTACTGCGGGGCTAACGTTCGTATTTTTAAAATAAAACAGAAAAAAAAACAAAAGAATAAGTAAAATCTCAGGAGTTACTTGTACAACTTTCCAAGATTGTAATGCGCATTAGCGTTGTGCTTGTTAAACTTGATTGCCTGCAAGAAATGATATTCTGCGTTTTCGATTTCACTAACTATGGTGCCAATATTGTTGTGAGCACTTGAGTACGTCGGCCATAACCTGTTGACAAAATTTCGGACTTAGTTATTCTAATAAGCAAGAGTTAAAAAAATTTTTGCTAAGATCTGATAGAAATGAGCGTAAGCGTGCTTAACAACTACCTCTCCTAAATTCGTTACATTTGCTAGCTTTATTAGACAATGTAATCGGGCCAATTGTATCAGACTGATTGACCAAAGAGGGGTGTACGATATTCTGTTGTGTTTGGCAACTTGCCGCTACTACTCCCTGTAACCATGAATCTTGCGGCTGACTTAAAGAGCTCGGGGCAGACAGCGCAATGCTAGTAATATGAGAGTTCAGCAGGAGATATCACACAAGGGTCATTAGGTCACAAGTACAACACTTCATGGGTGAAACATCTTAAGAGACGAGCTTCAATGACAGGAAAATATTTGTATGCGCGCGCGACGTTGGTTTCAATAAGACTGTTCAGATTTGACGCGCGATGGCGCCGTTATCGCGCAGTGTAGCCAAGACCAGCAAGATTATGGCTGCGTAAAGACTGAATACAGATGATCGCCAACTTAATGAATTCAATAGAAATAAAAAATAATACACCCACAAATAACCTATTGCCAACTGTTGTTTAATCGGTTACCTTGCATTTATTATATACGAGAGTAGAAACGGAAATTATCATATTCAATATGTAAATAAGCATTGTTGCAGTACGGAGCAAGGGTTCTCTTGGGTCAGTGATACAGATCGACTAAAATAAAGTAAATTTATAGCCTATATACGTTCCACTGCTGGGCACAGGACTCCCATCATTTCTGAGAGGATTTTAGGGCAAGGAAGTGTCCGCCGCCTTAATGCCTGTTGGTAAATTTCACATGTCTCCGAAATATTTTTTTCTTGTTCCTCAGACATGCTTCCTCACCGTTTCTTAATAAAAAATTTAGTTATCGGAAATATAAAAAATATGTTTCCTCTTCACCGCCGAGCACGTGGTAAATCAGCACTCAAAATTGCAATTAACAACTTCATTGGTGCCGGCGGGGATCGAACCCGGGTTACTCGCGTGCTGTTATATTTACAACGAGCGTTAACATCTGAACTACCACGGCTGATTGGGTTAAATCTATTTTAAAATGCCGAACATAAATTCCACTGACTGGTAATGAGGAGATGAGGAACGCATTAACTAGTAGGATTGCAACGATTGTTCAATGTTCACTCATCATTCTGTCTGCCAAGCACGGTGAGTGTGATTTTCGTAATCAAATTAATAAAAAAAGAAATAAATCATGTTTTATTTTCCCACAGCTCATTGATTGAAGCGAATTTATCATAATGATTTCTTAAATTTGCGCGAACAAAAAATAAGTAAAATCAGTTAAATAAAAGCGATAGAATCCGTAAATTTAGTTTTATTCAGCGAATTTATCATTTCGACCATACGTTATAAGTTAGGACAAATAAGGTCTTCGAAACCAAAGTCATCTGTCAAGGAAACCAAAACATTTATGTACAGTAATAACCGACACATTCTTGATGCTTCCCCTGTGGCACATGGTCCTTGAAAGGCCACCAGCAGTGAATTTAAAAGGGCTGCAAACGCTTCAAGTGAGGAGTACATTCATTCATCACAGTCTATCAAAAGTTCACCGCTTCAACATGAAGATAAAATCCCCAATAGAGTGTGCCATAGAAGGGATATTAGTTGTGGTTGTCGCGATTGACAAGCGGAACTGCTCTTTTTGATTGTTTTTATTTGTTATATAGGAAAATGCGGCTATCCATTTTCCATTATATTTCTCTCTATTGACTTTGATAATACCCATGGGATATTAGAGGGTAGTGACTTCTATTACGATACCACTACACGGTCACGGGATTAGAAAAAAGGAAAACTAAGCCTATAAAAACCCTGTAAACATACATTTAATTTTGTATTTTCTTCGCAGGGTAATAAATGGATATTGATAAACTATTATTTTTATTTAACGTGTACTTTTATTTAACTTTTGTACGTACTATTAAACATAGAATTCGATGTAGATCAGGGGCCAAGCGCTTAGCGTAAATTTCACAGTACGCGAGCAACTTGGTCTCTATCCCCGCCGGCGTAAATGAAATTGCTAAATGCAATTTTGAGCAATAATTTACCACGGTTATTTACTTTACGACTCAGCAGTGAACTACGATAGGAAAGCTGTGGCAGAGGAAAATAAAATAAAAATATTTGAAAATAAAATTATAGTTTTTTTAAATAAATTATTTTAGTAATATATGAAACCCGCCAAAACATACTGGAACATTGCGGTAGATTAATTGCTCAATAATCTTCTCAGAAATGTAAGGATTGATGACCATGAATTTAGTGTCACTTCACACAAAAAAATGTGGAAACTGCTTTCTAATAAGGTAATATTATACCTACAATTATAATCATCTTTATACCTCAAAGCTTCTTTATAATGTTTGATAGCATTTTCTTGCTGCTCAGTCTCACGTAGAAAGTTTGCAAAGTTGTAGTGCAATTTGGCATTTTGCGGCAAAGTCACCAAATCCGACCTACAACAAACAATACACATTTAGCGGTGATTTACGCCTAAATCCAACAACCGTGAAGCGAATATTACGAGGTGTAAATAGCGGTGAGCGTTTCACGCTACGCCGAATATGATTTTCTGACTAAAGTTTTTGAATAAAGTTGTACACAACTGTGTAAAATCAAGTTGCGTATAATTAAGTTGTTTCCAAGGGTGCGTGGAAGCTAAGGAGATAAGCACTATCTTTTAATGAAGAAGAATAAAAGTAGTTTTAATAATTAAAATAAAGGAATAAAGAATTAATAAATATATATTTACTTCTTGTACTGCAAGTTAAAGAAAAATTGTAATAGTAGTATTTTATTGTTTGGTTACCCCTTAAAGTACGTTTTATGTTATCAAATAATATAAGCAAAGTTCAAAATAGGCAGAAACAATAAGACGACGCATATCAGATCTAAAATGTTATTATATTTGAATTTTTTTGCAATAAAATATAAACATGTTTATGTTTTTACCTACAAATTCATTTATTAAAAATAATGCTGTTGACTTACACGATAGTTCAATAAATCTACCTATGTAAGAATATTTTACTTCTGTACCAGTAACAGTCTTTTAAACGGTATATTGACTCTGAACTCAAAAGCCACCCGCCTAGCGTGTGATAATGAAAGAACAATCACAGTAACGAATCCCAGTAGGCGCTTTCTTGAAAAAAAAATATATTTAGCAATGAATGTTATAATAGTCTCACTTTCAAGAAGATACGAATACCTTAAAAGTGTTGGCCGATCCCGCCACTCAGCATTTCTGCGATATGTCCGTGCTACTCCACTTCCAACCAACACCGCTAAACATACTATCAGCAATGCTTTGGTGCCAGGCTTAGAGTACCACAATAATTGAACGCCGTAAGCTGTTATTATCACACTGCCAATACTAAAAAATATAACAGGATACCAATAATCAGTTTAAAATGACTGCGCTCCCTGCATTCCTTCATTATACTAGTCAAGTTTTCATAATAATCACTGAGAAGTTTTGTTCATCTCTTAAAGAAATTCTTTTCCTGATAATTGAATTAACACAACATTTTAGTTCGTGACCCGTTTTTTAAACTTTCGTCAATGGCTTTAGCTTTAATCAAATAATATGACGATAGATTACTGTGAACACAGCCTTCTGTAAACAATTTAGTAATAAGATTTAAGATCTAACAAGTGAGAAAGCGTTATTACAACTATCTCTGAAGAAAATATTGTTTACATGTAACTAATAATACAAACACAACAATTTTTTGTCACTTATTTGCTATAATTAATGATTGCATATCTGAGAAAAATCAGAATCTCAAAGTGCTTTTCCTTTTATAAAAAACTACCTTATTTTAAACTAGAATATTCTTTTATTTCAAAACTTGGTATAGGTGTTCATATATTAACTAGATCAATATTATATTCGACTGCCTCATTGATCCAGTGATCTCAAGTAAGACTATTGACCGTGTGGTCCGGGTATACCGGAGTCAACTACGACGGAAGAAATTAGTTGTTTCAACTCCTTGCCTCGGAAAGCACGTAAAGGCTTTGGTCCTGCATCTGATCTCTCTCAGTCGTATTGAATTACCATCCCATCGGATATTGTGAGTGCAGGAATAGAGTAAATGCATTAATGCGTACATTCGAGTACTGTACTCCTGTCCTGCACAGCTGCCGTGAGCGCAATTCGATCTAGGGGAAATTCTGAAATGAATGTTAACTGGTGCATTTACGAAAAGTATTACATTCTGCAGTGAATTTAAATAGGCTGAATAAAACGAGAACCATTTGAAGAAATAATAGGTTTTTAATAGTTACTAAGTTAAAAATCACCAAATACCTCGGTATGTAAAGAACACGTTCGGCTATGACAAAACCGACAGTAACAAGTAAATTGCTGGCTGGCACAAAAGGAATAACAAGTAATAATACTCCAGTAACGGCAGGCGTGTGTCGGTGGTTCTGAAAAAATAAACAAAATTGTATTTCACAGATAAAACTTACCCTACTTTCATAGATTAGAGTTCCACACCACCGACAATATCTAAACTAATATAATAAAGTTTGACGACTCGATAAGCAGTGTTGTAGGTAGGATTTCGGAATGAAACAATCAGTATTATGTCCTAGAAATAAACGTTTACTGTTTGTTTTTTTATCCATTTTCCATATTATATATGTAAAACGCTTATGTTGTAAGGAAAACTCCTTGTCGAGATGAAAATTTGTGCGATAGCCCTTCAAACCACAAAATCTTTTTTTTTTTCTAGTTTGATAATAGTTCTTAATAATTAAATTTGTTAAAGAGAGTTTAAATAAGTAAACGATTTTTCCAAGGCAATCAAACGCCGTATTATATAAAAGCTACAAGAGGTTACTAGGTGGGTCTGGTTCTGAACACTTGCCTTCTTCTGTCGACAAACAGCAGAATACCCATTGTTGTCTACTTGTAAGAAGGGGCTAAAGCTCATCAATTACAGGCCCTGAGACATTTTATCCTAGTCTCTAGGAGTAAAAGGGTATTTGTGGTCTTCTTTATATCAAGATTGTTTCCGATTGACATCGGTAGCAGCAGTAATCTACCGTGAGGGGTGCTTTTAACACGTTGGTTTTTTACGACCGACGTATAAAAATACATGGTCACTTTAATATAGTGAAAAATTATAAAATCTCATAGAAGTGGGATTTTACCTATCACTATCATTAGAAGCTTTCGAGTTCCTTGCTAAATATAGGCATCCCCATAGAAATTATAAACAATTGCAGGATAACATAATTTGCTCATTGCTATTATGGAGATTGAAAACGGTATTATTAAAACAATGTCTAAACGTAATTTTGATATAATTAGATATATTTAAATATGTCAACAAACCGAAAACGTTGCAATGTTAGTGATAAGACTCTTCTGTATTTATTTCTATTCTAGTCTTCTTTTGTGAATTTCTATATTCTAGAGTCTTCTATGAATGCTGCCATAGAGGTAAGCTTTGCTGATATAGTTAGCTACTTCCTATGGATTATATAGATTTATTTATAACAGAAATCTCACATTGCCAGACGTATTGCACAGTGAACGTTGCACGACTTTTTCAATGAAAGTTTTGGAAATTGAGTGTAACAAAAAATCTTACAGAACTTTTCAAATCGTCTGCTAAGTGAGCGTTAAGTTAAATTGTTCTTGTAACAATAGTGAGCTTACGAGCTCGAGGTCAACAATAACCTTAAGAGGAATATTATTCAATGAGCATAATATTATTTTTACAGAATAAAGGTAAAAGTGACCACAAAGGCCACCTGTTGGTAAGTGAATAGTGTGACACCTTTATCTAACATATATATTATCAATGTAGTAACGATTTCACTCCAGAAGATTAAGATGAAAAGTCCCATCACATGTATAAATAGTCTCGATTCGCTTCACTCACTAAACAAAACAGAGTAAGTAATATTAAGCCGGTATTCTAAGTATTATAATGCGAGCTTAATCCTTCCCTCGAGCCGACATATTCACGCTTGCTTCAATACGCCGTAAGCGAGTCTATACAATGCGTGGGAATTTTTACTCAGTCGATTTTTAAAGCACGCGCAAGATTAATTGGGTGATGGATGAATTTTACGCCACCACCATAATATCACAATATTGTCCTAAAAAAACAAAGTTTAAAAAACATAGTTACCACCATATCAGCACCACAGCGATAGCAAAGAAGTATTAACGCACCAAACGCTGTGAATGTAAGTAAATTTCTAGGATCCCAGCCACTGGTGATAAGCAGAACTGATTCCATTTGCCAGTCGTGACTTAGTGTCCAAGGACAGAGAAGCAGCCACCAGTTGAAAGCTGCCAGGTAGCTGAAGGTCATTAGCCTAAAAAGAGTTGTAGCTTATTTTAATGATAAAAAAAAAAGTTATCGTTAAAGTTACCTAATATACGTCCCACTGTTGGGCACAGATCTACTCTCATTTCTGAGAAGGTTTTAGGGCAAGAAAGTGTCTGCTGCACTTTCCCCGACGCGTGTTGGCGAACTTCACATGTCTTCGAAATATTTTTTTCTTATTTCTCAGACACGCAGTTTTCCTTACGATATTTTCCTTCACCGCCGAGCACATGGTAAATTAGGACTTAAAATTGCAAATTACAATTACATTGATGCCAGCGGGGATCGAACTGCGTACTGTGATATTTACAGCGAGCGCTAACCCTCTGAGCTACCGAGGCTCCCTCTAACGTTAAAAATATTTAATATAAATTAGAAAAACTAAGTATGTTATACTTTTCTGTATAATCATTATCATCATCATTACAGCCCATCACAAGTCCACTGATAAACATAGGCCTCAACCGAGCAAAACGAAGTCCTGATACGTCTGCATCCATCGACTCCCTGCATTTATTACCAGGCTGCCTCTTTACCTAGTGAGGAGCCGCCTTACACTTTGCTTACCAATATGTGGCTGCCACTCAGCTTTTTTCCCCTATAGATTGCCAGTTCTTTAAACTATAATATAGCTATACTGGAATGCGTTGTGTTTACACATAGACCGGAAACACATTTAAGTGACTAGTAGGCAGCAGCTTTAACACTGTATTTTACGCTGTTATTCTGTGAGAACGTTGTCCTTTCCCGATCATATCTACATCATTCGTGCTACAGCCATAATACAGCTTAGCCATTACTCTACGAGAATTATATCATACAACTTTTCCAAGAGGTTATAATCGAGTTATTATTAATTATAATAAATAACAAAATTTTCCAAAAAATTGAGAGCAAATAAATTCAATCTCAAACTAATGTTTTGTTTTGAAAGCAATTTTTTTTACTGTTACAAACCAGTGCTTGACTTCTCTCCAAGCTGATGATACCTGTGGTAATGCAGTCGAAGGTGTAAAACTCACTGACTTAACGTAAGCCTATTGACTTTTGAATTGAAGACACCCATATTATAATCGCATCGAAAGACAGATGTTGGCTAATTTTGCACTTATTATCTGTACGCATTACGAAACACGAAGCAAACCGCTTGGTTCTAATGCGTGCTATGTCGACAATTTATGATAATAGGAAACCAAAATTCGAAAAAGAAGAGAATTCATTTCAATTACCTTACAAGAAAATTAGGATGGAATGCAGCCGGGTTGTCCTGAGGAGAAAACGACGGCAGCGTTCCCTGCAGTAACGCAAGACGGAGGTATATAAGTAAAGCAAGGGACACTGAGACTTTGAATGTTCGGACCGACAGACCAGCGCACTTGTTCTCCATTTTCATTGAGTAAAATGACCTGCGAATGCAAATATGTATAAAGATATATTGCTAATAAAATACTAATGTAATGGTTACAATACTTTAATGATGTTCTTTCGGTTGACAAAGACAAATTCCGTATAATATCAGAAAAGTTATAACACACAAAGTACGATGTGATCGCGAATCATTATCTCGAATCGTGATGCAGGAAATTTCCGCAACATATACAATATGTAACGTAATTAACGCACACCCTCAGACACCCTAATTAGTATATTATGTTATATTCATAATGTATACACTGAATTTTTAGTTAAACATTTTTATGCACTGATTATACTCCCTCCTTGTCCTAGACATTCTTAACAATTGTAGTACGCCGCATTCCATGCCAGCATCACAATTTATCCAAGCTCGCTAAAAAAAATTTTTAAAGCAGTATATCTGGCAACACTATCAACCCGTCCGTCAATGCAACCTCATTACGTTTTTTTGTGCCAGCAATCACGGTGTGTTTTTATAATTTTTGTTGTAAAAATTAAATATGTTTTGTGTAAAATCAAATATTTTGTATCCAAAACCTACTACAAATAAATTTATTACGTATCTGCGTGGTAATAATTTGATTATGTACTTGGGAAAATGGGGAAGTAAGATATTCAAAATGGAGCCAACCGATCAAAGGTAAACAAAAATCCTATTGTTCGAGGTAGGTGCACGTGTATAGAAAATAAATAAAGTTAAAACATTTAGTACCTAAATAATAAAATCAGATACACTCTGCCTATTTATTAACAAGTATTATCGAACAAATTCACTATTAAGGGTTAATTTAATATAGGTATAATAACATAACCTCGTCACTCATATAATATGAAATAGTAAATAGGTATTTTAACCTATAAATGTGGGTTGAGATACATTGTACAGGGATACGTTGAGAAATTTTAAGTGATATATATTAATGTTTTCTTACTTTCATTTACTTACGTTGGGCAGTCGCTATTATCAGTCAGAAAATTGGGGCAGCAGACCCGGAAATTATACACCCTGAGATTTAATTGTATACCCTGAGATTACAACTAAACTTTCTTTAGTATCAGAAAATCCTGATTATGACAAGAAATAAGTGCTATAAATAAACTTAACTCATAAGTTTATTGAGGTTATGTAAACCTTTAACATCCACAAAAAATTGGCAGAACAAGTTAGAAATAATAACTGAATTCTGGGACAAAATTATCCGGTGTGTAAGGGAGAGTCAGTTTACTAGTCCTTAAAATTGTTAATTCCCAAATAAATGGGATTTAATAGATGCATTTTTAAATATAAAGACAGTTCATTATTACATATTATTTTGTAGACATAATATGACACCCCTCTATCAGGCATTTGGGTGTTGGTAGGCCTATGTGCAGCTGTGGACTTTTATAGACTGCAATGGATGGATGGATAATATGACAAGAAAATAAGAAAAAATGTGATATGAGAACTGTTTTACCTTGATATGAAATATCTAAAGGTTACAAGTTAAATACACATAAAATATAAGTAAGCAAAAAGTGAGTAAAAAATAAGCATTTATAGGCTGTTTAGAAAAATCTGAAAGATTGAACCAAACCTATTATTCAAATTATATCCCTTGTGATATATTTGGCTTCACACGTTGCGAATGAAACCAGATTTGACAGATATGCAAAACAAAAATAGTATTGTAAGCATCAGATTGAATTACAATAAATTTGTTAAATTATTAAAAGAATTATAAAAGACAACAGATAGCCTGTAAAATGTTTCATGACATAGATTATTGTCAATTTTAAAAAATTAACAAAATATAATTAAAAAATTCGGTATAGAAGGTAAACAATAAATTATTATTATTGAGATAGTAAACGAATATAATATAATAATTATTATATAACAATATAACAAGACGAGAAAGTAATATAGAGAAATTTCGGCTGATAGGCAATTAAATAAAAATCTAGACCATGATTAATTAATTGAAATTAAACATAGGCACATTATTGCATTCGAGCTGTTTTATGTAATTTAATATAACCTAAGTAACAAGAAAGAAAGAAGTGTTTAGCATCATTAGGTTTTAAATAGAATGATGAGTTGCAAATGCATTAATGGCCTACAGCGGTACATAAAATATCAATCTGAGAAAATATAAGACTTACATACTTCACTAATTAAAACAGTGGTAAATTAAAAAATTAAAAAGAAATTTAAAAATAATTATAGGAAATAATTTTCTATTGTAAGATATCTAAAAGTTATGACAAGTTAAAAATAAGTAATATGTGAAGTAATAATTAAAAAATAAAATAAAAATGGATTTATTCAGTAAAATTAAGTATGGTATCATTCATACCTATCATGTTATTATTATCACCTTCATAACTAAAACTAGGTATGGTAAAAGCACAATAGAGTTATGCTGACAGATGCATACACTGATTGCCAAAATATGTTAGCAACAAAATAAATTGTTGTAGTAAGAGGGAATTATGTAAAAATACTGATATAAATAGTGACTAGATATATTGTGCATAATCCATTTTGGTTGCTATTAGTAAAATGAGGTTAATAATGTTGTGCTTAAAACCTTATTATATATAATAATGTATATATAATGTTATGTAATATATATTCAGTGGCAAATTTCTAAGCTTAGATGGTTGTTAATATTACAAAAAAAAAACATTAAACGCATAATACCGTTTGAAATATAAATTGACACTTCTCGACTGGATGGAGAGAAACCAATGGAATGAGAAAAATTTGGGTTTTGTCCTTCATTGAGAGTAAATTGCATAGATATTATTCTATATTAAAGTAGTATATGCTTATACTTTTGGGAATGGTAGAATACAATACAAAACTTTGAGCAAAACAATATAGTTATAATGAATAGTAAACTTACTACTAACTAAATAATACTTATGTTGTACAATTTTACTCAGAGTTGATAAAAATCCGGCTTCATATATTAACAAGCTAGAGAGGGTTCTATTCATTAACTATTGAGGATTCAATACTTTAAATTAAATAAAAATATGGAAATTTAACATACAATCTAAAATTGAGCCAAGTAAACAAAAAACAGTCAGAGGAAGACTTTCAAGTCTGTATATCAACAAGATCATAAAGCAGTGTCAAAGCTATAACTTGATCAAATTAGTAACGAGAAATAATAAAATTATTATATACTTAAAAATGGGGTTCTGTAGGCATGACCCAGAAACCATGGCAGTTATATTAGATTGGGGGACGATTCTTCTTGTATGTATTTCCTCTTAATGTCGATGAGCCAAAAAACCATAGGTTTTTGTGTTTTTTTTTTTCACATGAGAAAATATTTTGTGGTACTGAGATTTAGAAGCAAACAAATAAAGATAATTAATGGTATAGTTTTTATAACAAAGGGCTCAATATTATGAGTATAACATAATGAAAAACTTGTTACAAATTATAGATGTAAAAGTATTAGAAAGTCTCACAAAGGTTTGCCAAAAGACCGTGATCATGATCATGACATGATCACCGGACATCAAGGTAGCAAAATATAACAACATACCAATGATTTGAAAGTTGGGCAAGACTATTCCCACTTTTGTCATGCACATAGTTTCCGACAGTATTGAAGAAATAGGGAAAGTATAATACTGAGGAGATAGGGATGCAAAAGCACTATTGAATTAAAACTGCTGGGAAAAATATCTAACAGGAGTTATATAGATGCTATATACAGACCATTAGAACTGTCACTTAGAATATATACATGGATTTATGTATATATCATAAAATAAGAACGAAAAATACTACTGGCAGATATTAAGCGGTGCAGAGAGCCAGAAGTAATTACTGTAAACTTAAAATTGTTGAGAGAATATCCAGCATAAGTTATTAAAATGCTATGCATTAGAGCTGTCATTTATGAGGATAGACATGGTTAACTATTCAGACCTTACCGCTATGACTTACAAGGTAGACAGGTCTTAATTCACATATAAGATGCTATCATTAGTGGAAAGATATTAAGATGGGCTAGGACTCAAAAGACATCACTGCAGGCTTTACATCGTTAGAGCTATCACATAGAGGATAAACACGGTTGACTATTCAAACCTTAGAGCTAACACTTTGAGGTTAGACAGGTTTGAATTGAAAGCAATATCACTTGAAGGAAGACATTAAGATGGACTACGGCTCGGAAGAAATCACTGCAGGCTTTAAACTGTTAGAGCTATCACATAGAGGATAGACACAGTTGACTATTCAAATCTTAGAGCTAACACTTTGAGGTTAGACAGATTGAATTGAAAGCATTACAACTTGAAGGAAGACATTAAGATGGACTACGGCTCGGAAGAAATCACTGCAGGCTTTAAACTGTTAGAGCTATCACATAGAGGATAGACACAGTTGACTATTCAAATCTTAGAGCTAACACTTTGAGGTTAGACAGATTTGAATTGAAAGCATTACCACTTGAAGGAAGACATTAAGATGGACTATGACTTGGAAAAAATCACTGCAGGCTTTAAACCGTTACAGCTATCACATAGAGGATAGACATGATTAACTATTCAGACCTTTTAGAGCTAACACTTTGAGGTTAGACAGGTTTTGAATTAACATTAAAGCGCTGTCACTATAAACTATAAAGTAGTTTTTTTTCACATGAGCAGTAAATGTGAAATAATGAATTATTTATTTTGAATAAAATAACAAATTATTATTAACACTGCCTATATAAAGATAATCATACTACCGTGTCATGTTACAGTCATCTTGTAGATATCTCATACACATCATTGGTTACTATTAGTGAAGTATTTTGTAAAATATGGCACTCCAAGATTCGCTCCAAAATTCATACTAAGAATTATAGTGAACTCTCCTATGTCAAATACTATAAATTATAAAATAATTAATTCTTTATCGTACCAAATTGTAGTAAGTGTAATGAAATTCCTTCCTGGGCTGTTGTGCCTTTTACTTAGGTTTGAGTTATAAAAATAGACTTAATAATAAGTTACTTTTAGATTATTAACTACAGAATATTGCAATAAATATTGAGAATACAGAAATTTACAAAAACTAGTAACAAGCTGAGCAGGGATGAGTTATAGGTTATAATATACATACATTGTCCTTCAACAAATATTACATTTATTCAAACGGGAGCTCAGATGTATAGTTAAGATATAGATAGAATTTCACTTCAACAGGGTTTGCATGGGAAAATATAAATAAGAAGGGGTTGAGCCTTTCTTGTGAATATTTTAATAGAAAACAGAACACAAGATAGTGATAAATTTAACCCACTTAGAATAGTATTTCCCAAGTAAGTTATAAGATGTTAAAATTAAACTGGAATAGATTCCAGATTGTTTTCTCTTTCAGTCATAATTCTTCCAAAGGGCCACTTCTGCTGCAATCGAGCTGGGTTTATGTGTATAAGGAAATGTTATGGAATAACGATAATTTATTTATGTTATTAATTTAAATTTACTATACAGGCAATATTATGTTCAACATTTTTTATAAAATAAGCGAAATTGCAAATTTCCATTCATTGGTATAATAAATTCGCAACCCTGTCTTCAAACATCTACAATTGTTAAGAATGTCTAGGACAAGGAGGGAGTATAATTAAATGGTTAAACGAACTTACCTTAAGTGAAGTTCAACCATAATTATACGAAGCTCCTTGTCCTAGACGGTACTCCCGGCCCAACCCTCCCTGGGTTAGGGTTGCTCATCTAATTCCTTGCTTTAAACATAATGAGGTTGCATTGACGGACGGGTTGATAGTGTTGCCAGATATACTGCTTTAAAAATTTTTTTTAGCGAGCTTGGATAAATTGTGATGCTGGCATGGAATGCGGCGTACTACAATTGTTAAGAATGTCTAGGACAAGGAGCTTCGTATAATTATGTTTGAACTTCACTTAAGGTAATTTCGTTTAACCATTTAATTATTTATCAAATTAGTTATACTAATTCCGTAAGAATGTTGTGGTCACAGTACAAATTCACGAACGCAAAGACTTTAACGTGCTTAAAATAAAGTTAATTTTTCTTTATTTTTATTGAATAACAGAATTAGTAATAATACAAATAAAACTGCACTCTTAAAAGTCTTATTGCCATAAGTTACGGTCCGTTTCAGTTTGTTTTGACTGTACAGATTTAGTGTGACTGTAATTTACGTAGTTTTAATTATTTTTGGGATAAAAAATTACCTATATTAAAAATGATAGGAATCGATTCAGTAAACGATTCTGAACAAACTACTTTCTCAAAGTGCGTTAATTATGTTACGTGTTGTATACATTCAAAGTTTATAACAATATTTTCCCCCTACATTTGAATAAAACTAATTTTACGAATTTTACTTTACGTATAATATAAATAATAAAATTCTGTAAAATAAGTTTAATTCAATTTGCAGTATTTGCGCAATTATACACAAATCATTATTATTTTCTCCAGCTGAAGTACAAATCTTAATATTGTGTTAGTAATGAGATATAAAATTTGTTTGCATTTATGATTGTAGCTGCTGCTATGTCTGTTTTTATAGTTTATATACCAGATATATCTGACAAAAATAACTTCCTCGTTGGTCTAGTGGTTGTAGTAGTGTGACTACTGATCATGAGGTCCTGGTTTCAAATCCCGGGTTGGGCCAAAAAAAAATCAATTATTGAGTTTTTCTGTCAAGAAATTCTCAGTAGCAACCCGGAGTCAGGAAGTTGGTGGTGTCTCACCCTCGTGCCTCGGAAAGCACGTAAAGCCGTAGGTCCTGCGCCCGATCTCTCTCCAGTCGTGTCGGGTTACCGTCCCATTGGATTATGAGAGCGAAGGAATAGAGAGTGCACCTATGCTTGCGCATACACTTGGGCACTTTAATCCTGTCCTGCGCCGATGGCTAGCCTTCGCTGAGGTTGGCCGCCGTGACCGAAATTCGGCCTGGAGGATATTATTATTATTATTATATCTGAAAATAAGAAATCAGTTTTCTGTACAAAGACTGCCTCTAATTGATATTCGAACCCAAGATCGCGACAGCGATGACGTAATCATTGAACGAAATCATTTAAACAGACCCTTAAATCTATCTTATATAATACTAAACTAGTCATTTTATTTAAGTATAAAATACTTTTCAAAATTCGTACTAATATTACTATCTAGTTGGCTATTATTACCGTTTTAGGGCACTATCTGAATAGGAATTAGGGCAATATCACATTTTCACTATCTGAACATTTTACAACATACTAGTGTAATAAATCTTAACTTTAAATATAATATGAAATAACGATTTCTTTTCGTCATCACTAAGAAATATTATAGCAATAAAATAGATTTAATAAATGCCTTTTTATAACCTTCAGTTACTTCGCTTAAAAGTAAAAATATTCTGCACACATTTTTAACACACACATAGGACAGATAACACACCTATGAGATAAAGTAAGTAAAATATTCCCAAAAATGCTTACTAGGAGCTTCTAACGGTGGAATTATTCGTTATTAAATGTACGTTACAAAATAAATTCAATTGAATTAGCAACGTTCTTAAATTATCAGACTTAGTAGTAAAAAATATTCCGCTGTTTTATTTAAAATCCTAGTTTACAGTGTTTTAGGATTCATTTTCGCTATATGTTTAAAATTGTAGTAAAATATGCAATTTTGCTACTGAATCGAGATTCTCTAACATGAAATAAAATGTTAAATTACGATAAATTGTCCACCATAGGTATCGCCAGCACAGGAATTGTGTGTGTGTGTGTGTGTGTGTGTGTGTGTGTGTGTGTGTGTGTGTGTGTGTGTGTGTGTGTGTGTGTGTGTGCGTGTGCGTGTGCGTGTGTGTGTGCGTGTGCGTGTGCGTGTGCGTGTGCGTGTGCGTGTGGTGTGTGTGTGTGTGTGTGTGCGTGTGCGTGTGCGTGTGTGTGTGCGTGTGCGTGTGCGTGTGCGTGTGCGTGTGCGTGTGCGTGTGGTGTGCGTGTGCGCGTGCGCGTGCGCGTGCGCGTGCGCGCGTGTGTGTGTGTGTGTGTGTGTGTGTGTGTGTGTGTGTGTGTGTTTCTTATCGGTATTCTTATTAGATATCTTTATCAGTATTCTGTGATATTAGTGCAATATGGCTACTTAGCTTTTATATATTCATCCGATACAGGGCTCGTGGCCTGAAAGACGGATTAGATACAGCAAGGGCATCACCTAACGTTTTCACCACAGGCCGTGTCGATTTGGAAAGTTCCAGTCAACAAATCTCCTTTCTCCACTTAAATCTATTTGTTTAAAATATATATTTTAAAGAATTACCTCTTTACAAACGGCCAACGTCTATAAAAATCGATGACAAGATTTAGCAGAAGTACTGTAACGCCAGTCTCTTTTGCAAGCATACTAAGCGCTCCAAGAAAAACGCTCAACCACACACACTTCTTACCGCTTGTAGGCCTGTAAGAATAAATGATTAATTGTTTTTGTCGCAAAATGGGGTTGTCATGTGCCACTAAAATAGCATGTATAACATAAAATAGTATATAATATTTTGTCTTCTAATTTAAAAGACGATTTGTAAAGTAATTTATAAATATTGCTATAGGGTACTTGAGGTGAGGTATCAATTTTTATAATATGTTAAATTTTTCCATTTTATGTGGTAGTTATAACAAAATGAATAACTTTAATAAACCACACAAATTTTCATTTAAATTCTTAGAGAAGATTTGGTGTTGCATAGCTGCTCCAGGGCAGAATTTCACATAACCCTTAAAATCTTTCATATCTCAGACATACAATTTCCTTTATAATACCGGGTATATTCGTAATATGTATCCGCCGGGTTAAATTAGGCATTCCAGCTTATTTTATTTGATGTATAAATAATAGGAAATAAGGTAACCTATGAAATTGCCGCTCTGTAGTACTGGCCATTACAACTCAAAACATTTTTGTTTGGCTAAGAATTCTAATTTCAAATTAATTTTATTTTTAAAATATGAAACTCTTTTTGCAAAATTAGTCTTTTGTTTATTGATTAGCATTGTGATTTCGTTGCATTTTAATCTTTTTAGTCATTATGGATACGTTAAAAAATCGATTAATTATAGAATATGAGTACCGTCGTTGCAGCAAAGCAGCACAGCAGCATGCAATATCAACGACGTTTACGGAGCAAATACCACAAACGAACGTCACACCTGTTATTGGTTTGCCCGCTTGCATTCTGGAAATTTTGTTTTAATAGCTTTTGACGTTAGGTTCAAACCAATATTGGTCAATTTTCGTTAAATTGGCAAAGTAAAAAAGCTTGATAAATAGGTGCCCCACGAATTCAATGATCACCAGCGTGGAGTACGCGTCGTGAGGTATCTTGAACTGTTCAACAGGTACACAAACGAAGCTATTTTCATCGCAGGTGACAATGCAGTCACATTATCCCCTGAGATGTTTTGTAGAATTGCTTTTGTAGAATTTGTTGATTCGCGTCCAGTTGGTTTCTTCAAGAAGAGCATCAATAAACTGTTAATGCTTTAGCAAAGATGCATGGATGAAGTTGGGTGATAGAAACAAAAATTTAAAAAATAACGTTAACTTATTTCATAAATAGCGGCAATTTCGTAGGTAGAATAATTGATAATAATTATTTAATTAATAATTCCCTATTAAAAGATCGAACTCAAGTTATGGTAATTTTAAAATAATATTATTATTTACATATAAAATAGATTAAAAGAATTATAGAATCATATATATTACTAAATTATATATTTACCTCTGGTAGACTAAAAGAGATAACAGGAAAAATACACACGCCATAACATCTGCTCTCCCAACCACTCCAGCTACCTACCGAAAAGAAGAAAAAAAATTAATAGATGATACTTATCATTCAATATAACAGAGATACAAGGATAAAGGCATTTGTCATGTACTAGCAGCGTAAGAATATCCACTAGCCTATGATTTTTTGTAGAATAAGCGATACAAACGAACACACAGTCTACCTGATGGTAAGTGGATGCTGTGGCCCATAAAAACCTACATTTAACCTTGGTTAAGAGGAAAAATGCAGATGCGCTGTCACCCCTGAGGACTAAGATGGTATGCCTAGATTCCAATAAAAACGGGTCTAGGGCTCTCTACGTTCACAATACGGAACACAGCAGCATTAAGCTGCTATTTTACGCTGGTATTCTGTGAGAGCGTGGTCCTTTCCCGGTCGAGCCGACGCATTCATGCTACAACCATAATAAAGCTGCAGCCTGGCTCTGCCACGTATAAAAACCATGTGATTCTGCGATTGTAGTAGGAGGGAACTGAAATACGAGATTAGCAGTAGCATCTTCATACTATCAGCTCACAAAATAATAAAAAACTATGGTTACCAATCAGCCGGTCAAGCGTGGCAACTATGGCAACGTTACCTTCTATGCGGAGAAGTTTACGATCTGAAGTTTACTTTTGATAGTATATAATGAATGAAAGTAAAATAAAAGGATTAAAGGGAATACACCATTTCTTTACAAATGAAACTCGGAGGAACTACGAATGGCTATATCTTTATACCAAAACGTCGAAATGTAATACAACATGATGATTTTTTATAGAAGAGATATGGAACCTGATAGTACGTGACTAACGTTTCTCATAAAGGACTGCATCACACTTTCGGTCTATTTTTACATTACTCTATTTTACCCACAGATGTATAAACTGTGACTATGGGATATACCAGGCAAATCTTATCGGTTCCGATAGATGGCGGTATAACCGTCTTGTTTACTTTAGACGTAAACATCATAAACCGCGACGGGAAGCAGTTTCAAAGTTGTAGACGTCTTGTGCTTTAATAGTCAATTCAACTGATGTTATCATGACCATTATGGTAAACACTTCGTAAGGTAAAGAAGATTAAAAATTGTGTTTCTCGCGTTTTACAGTGCTCCTTAGCTACAACGGCTGTTTTATTATATTTTTCTTAATAGAATAAGGGTGACAAATGAGCACACGGTCCACCTTATGGTTAGTGGATGCTGTGGTTCATAGACATCTTCATTTATCCTGGCTTAAGAATCAAAACGCAGATGCGTTGTTACCCCTGAGGACTAAGATGGAATGCCTCGTTTCCAGTAAAAAAGAGTCTCCGGATCTCTATACTCACCATACCAAACACAGCAGTATTTTACGCTGGTATTCTGTGAGAGCGTGAACCCATTCGTGATGCCACCATTATATAGCTCTGTTATATTATATAATCAATAAATGCTTGAGATGATTTTAATGCGAACATAATTATAATTTTTATTGGCAGTTTCGAAATGTAATAAATTAAGGTTTTATTTAGAATAGTATAACTAATGCAAGTGACAGTACGTCATTACTGTTAAAGCTGTCCAGTTGCCCAACTGTAATTAAGGTTTATTTTATGTATTTAAATTGTTACCGCTTCGGTGTGAATAGGATGAACCGCAAATAATAGGGCCGCCAGTGCAGCGAATGGACGTTGCAGACGAGCTATTGTGATACAAGTCCTTGTGACCAGCGCGCAACATACGGCGTGAAGCGAGACGTTACAAGCGTGCCACCACCACGGCTGTAAACCAGCTAGGGCGTGATTAAGTCTGAAACAAAAAGAAAGAATATTCTTAATTCGACGTTGGGGCAAATGTTTGAGTTTGTAAATACTAGTCGCAAAAAAAATACAACGCGATGATTACAATATTATTTTGTGTGTCTATGGACTTACTCAAGCAATGTTAATTTAAGTTAGTTCGACAAGTGGTAGAGAACGTGATATGGCTCTGACAGTAATAGATACTCTATAGTTGTAGCACGAATGGGTTGGCATGATCGGGGTAGGACCACGCTCTCTCAGAACACCATCGTAAAGTAGCAACTTAACGCTGCTGTGTTTGAACCGGAACCCGTTTCACTAGAAACGAGGCATTCCATTTCAGACCTTAGAGATGCCGACGCATCTGCATTTTGATTCTTAATCGAGGATAGATGTTTATAAGCCACAGCAACCACTTGCCATCAGGTGGACTGTATGGACGTATTGAATAATCCCTGTCCTATAAAAAAAACCCTAATAAACAAAAACTGGATATTCTTTAAATCTAACTGTCAGTATTTAAGTTTTTGCTATGTCGTTATTGAGTAATAAATATTGACTGTATAGTCCACTTCAACATTGACGAAGTTATCAATTCGGCTGTTTTTTGTTTTTGTAACATAAGCGATTCGCCGATTCTGTATGTAAATTGCTTTTGCATTTTGCTTTATACTAAGAGTTATTAAAAACACCAGTCTTCCATCCAGTTTAGTCCAGTTTTAATTGTTTTTGTTATCTAATGGTTATCGAGCTAGCTGTTTTCGAGCTTTATCAAGTATAGAAAGTAATAATCTTAGGGCCAATTTTTCAGTAGTTAGATGAAATTTATCCATCAAATAAATAATAACTTGACGGAATATAAAAATGAGCTATTATTCATACAATTTTAATTTTCAATTTGTTTATGTTTTATTTATTTTACGAATAACATTTACCTGATGATTGAAAAATCGAACCCTAAAGTGTTTTGGTTATAATATATATAAACAATCAACTTATAAATAGATATTATACATTGTACCCTATAACATAATATGTACACTAAAATATAGTGGTTAACTTAAAGTAATTGTAAAAATAATCTGTAGCGTCCTTGTGTAGCGTAAACAACCACGCACAAACTGTTAAATAATAATTACAACAAATTCGTACTTTAGAATGACAATTCATGAAACAAATTCATGAAATTAGAACTCCAGAAAAGTAAGAAATTAAAGAAAATAATAGAGGTGAAATAGATGTCGACTATGTAGTTTTATTCATGTTTAATAAAATATATACCACCACTTATTTTTAATTACGTCACAATAGCAAAATAGGGCTTAAATTGGTATCAACAATGGTTTCGTAATCAGAACACCTAATAATTTTCTTTACAAAAATTCTAAATGATGGATCAACAAAAGAACCACATGTATGTAGTTAACACCCTCAGCGACGAGGTCACGTAGGTGTGCTTCTATATTTCTGCCACCTTTGAAAAGGAATATTCCCTATTTTTATTCCTTGACATTAGCTACAAAACTACCAATCAGAAAAACACATCAAACATTGTAATAGATACAAACTAGAAAACTTACAAATGAAAGCCTTTGATAAAAAAACTTTTACTTATCAAATTTTGAACTATAATACAGACTGCAATTCGCTGAAACTCTGTATTTTTACTGCTTTTCTTGTTGCCACACATTCGTTACACGGCTAAATATTGCTTTTGCAATAAGCAATGGTACGTAGATATTACCCGGAACCGCGTTAGCTAAATTTTTGACAGGTCCGGTAAATTGTATTTTATATTTCTTGATTTATGCAACGTCAAATATGGAATAAGATGATACCTATTAGAAGAACAGAAACTAAGAAAACTTTTCCATTTCACTATATAAATTGAAAGATAATTACAGCCTATTATGCATTCCATCTTAGTCTTCAGAGACAACGCAAATGAATCCTTTTTATTTAAAACTGATTACAATTTGCCATGGGCTGCAGAAATGACTTACCTTCAGGTGAACTGTTAGCTCGTTTGTCACTTTCATTTTATGAAGAAAAAACAAGGCAAGCAACGTGTGTCTGTGTGAAAGTGGCTGGATATAGCTCGCCTTCATTCTTGAAAGTTATATACTTGTGTATTTAAGTATTTTCGTGGGTATGATGCTTGTTATTCATGTTTGAAATATAGTTCTCGTTTTACAAAGAGGACAAGTCTTAGGTCCGTCATGATTGTTAGAATTCAAAGCTGAATTAAAATAACATTAGTAATAGTACGCGAGGGCAACTTGCACGACCCAATTTGTGGTGACACTACGGGCCGTAACCGATTTCTCCAATTAAGTATTTGAGCATGATACATTTTACACTTCATTTGCGGTGGAAGTTTAATATATAATTACTTCAGGAGGATGCTGACTGTATAAGAATCTTTAGCCCGCACACTCACCTCCTTACACCCTTAGCTGTAAACAGTTCACCAATGTTGCACCTTGCAGTCAGTTAAAATTTTAGTGTGAGGTGCCCTTTTAGTAAGCGACAGGCCATCACAACAGAACATCATCTATTGAGAATTCCAATCTCAAAGCTCAACATTTTCCGCCCTTTTTGCCCATAGTTTGTGTATATTTTGGGACCCTTCTACGGTTATATATTTTTAAATATGTGGAAGAGGTCAAAAATGCACACCATAGAAACAAAGTACAGCAAATTTCTCCAAAAGCCCTCTGCATTAATTACTCTCAAAATAATATAATGACGATGAAATAAAAATAATGAATACAAAGAACTAAGTCTTACTTCATTAATGTGTATTTTTAATCGCAAAGTAGAAGCATTTTTATGTGTTCCACAAAAATATCAAGGTTATCATTTGATCTATAAAGTTAACACATTATTATAGTGATTGACTAAACTGTACTCTTATATTATCGCGCCAACAAAACCACGTCAAAGGTGCGAGCGGTCTGGTAATGCGCTTGTCAACCCGCCTACCAAGAAGGACGATGAAAGCAAATCCTGCCTATGATAGGAGAGGCCCAAATAACGATATAATATTCAATATCCGTATTAAAGCTATTGCAACATAATTACATACTAATTTTAATATTTATTTATCGATTTATTACAGCCTATCGTACATTCTTTTTTTCTTTTATAGGATAGGGTGACAAACGAGCACACAGTCCACCTGATGGTAAGCGGTTGCTGCAACCCATAGACTTCTACATCTGTCCTCAAATACGAATCAAAACGCATATGCGTTGTCATCCGTGAGAGCTAAGATGAAATGCATCGTTTATAACAAAATGGGTCTCCGGTTTCACTCACCATAGTAGCGTTAAATTGCTATTTTTACGATAGTCCTCTGTGAGAGCGTGGTCCTTCCTCGATCGAGTCGACCCATTTGTGCCACAGCTATAATACTAATATAGCTGCAGCATGGATCTGCCACGTACAACTCGAGATAATATTAAATTGCTATGCTTGGCGGGTAGGTTGACCACCGCAGTTTTATATGATTTACACTTAACACGACATTAAAGAATCCATTCCGTATAATATGCCACCACACGACGACAGTATAAATTTATTGTTCCATTTTTTTTTCGAAATAATATAAAATATAAATAATATATTACTAACATACCTCATTTTCATGGAACTCAATTACACTGATTAGGTATACAGCTGCGATAGTGACTTTATATTTTAACCGGCGGCATTTTTGATTAATGGAACACTTCTAGACGGCGACAGCAGCACTAAAATTCAAGCACTTAATATTATTTTCAAAAAAGAACTTCTGTTGTCTCTTATTTTACAGTCTGCTGTAATCCGAATTCTGTTTTAAGAAATTTATCTTTCATAAGAAAAAAACATTCATTTGTCTGAGTAACACAAGTTGTTTTAAAATAAAAAATATATAAATGTGCTGGTGCGACATTTTTTGATCATTGAACGATGATAATGGTAAAAACATTGACAATATCTACATTTCAAATTTAAACTAACATAAAATAAAAATGTGGGTAAGTTGAAAACAATTACATCGACAAATACAATTACACTTCAGACAAGTCGAACTACGCTTATGCAGAAATATAGCTACTGTACATGGCATTGCGATGCATTATAACCCTTAGATAAGATATGTTTCAATATAATGTTTACAAAAATCACAGTCTACACACTGCAGGATACAGACTTCTTCTTATTCCTGACCGAGTTCTTCTAGATCAAGGAAATGTCTACTGTGTGTTTGCGAACTTCACATGTCATCGAAAATTTAATTTTGTTTTTATAGATATGCAGGATCTCTCGCGATTTTTTTCTTTCTAGCACGTGGTAAATAAGCACTTAAATTTGCTATTAACAATTTAATTAGTGCCGATGTGTGTAGACATAGGTGCTCGCGTAATATAAAATATGAAAAAGCTCCATATAAATATGTTCATAAATAAATATAATTAAAAATTTATTAAGTTAACAAAACAATAGTCCCACTTGTCATCTATATTAATAGAGTTTTAGAGAAAACCATTAGATATAATTGCATGTAAGTAAAGTACGAAGTAATTTAATTACTATGAAATAACTTAACTTATCTTTTTTTAACTTCCCTCTAAGAAAATTGAAAATTTTCAAATATAGTGTAGTTATTGATTTCACCCCGATTTTCGAAAATTGAGTGTTTATCAGTACTTGACGTTTTGAGATCCCAGAAAGCTCCCTGGAAAAACATTTTAACGGCTTTACCGATCACTTTCAAAAACAAATCAGCTCCAAACCGAAACAAACGACGTCGAATGCCGTTTGTAAAATAAAAATCGGTTCATTCATTCGTGAGATATCGAAGGAGAAAAATTTTTAAAAGAAACGGTTTTCTTTAACATAATTTCAAGATTTCGCAAAATAATTTGGTAAAATTTGGAGCGCATTGAATTTGAAATTAGCGGGAAGTTCTAGGGATGGCCTGCAGGGTCAACCAATTTTTTTCACTTTAAGTTATTATCATCGTCATCATCATTGTTACAGCTCTTCGCAAGTCCACTGCTGAACATAAGCCTCCCCAAGAAATTACACAAAACACAGTCCCAAGCCACCTGCATCTATCGACTTCTTACATGTCTTACCAAGTCGTCACTCCATCTATTTGCAAATCGCCCATTACTTCATATATCAGCACGAGGCTGCCACTCGAGAATCTTCTTCCCCCATCGTTTGTCGGTTCTACAAGCTATATGGCCGGCTCAATTTCACTTCAGCTTATTATCCGTAGAGATATGTCGGTCACTTTGGTTCTACTGCGAATTTACTAATTTCTAGTTTGTCACACAAAGAAACCCCAAGCATAGCCCTCTCCATAGCTCGCTGAGTGAACTTGAGCGGCACGGCATAGTAGCGAATGACCATCTCTCAGATCTATAAGTCATCACTGGCCACACGCACTGGTTGTAGAATCTTGTTTTGAGGTATATCTGATGAAAAGATGTGTCGTAATTTCCCGAATGCTGCCCAGCCGAGTTGAGTTCGTTGATTGACCTCTCTGTGGAAGTTGGACCTTACCTAGTTGAGCTATTTGTCCCAGGTAAACATACCTGTCAACAACTTTGGGCTTAGTGCTCCCTAACCACCGGCATAAATGTGACATGGACGTTACATATGTTATTTGTTTTGTCCATGTTCGTCTCAAGACGTATGCGTCAGGAGACACTACTGAGGTCATGGTGTATAGTGCTTAGGTCGCCCAGTGATTCTACTATAAGGACTATATCGTCGACAAATCAAAGGTGAGTATTGTACTCGCCAGTGATGTTAATATATTTCCAGTATTCTTTCCAGTACAGTAGCCTGAAAACGTCTTTCAATTCAGCGGTGAAGAGTTTCGGAGATATAACGTCACCCTGTCTTACACCGTTGCTGTGTAGTGGTGGTTGAGAATATCCACTACCCCATAGCTTCCCGTGGGTATCGTAAGAGGCGACAGAGGGAGACAGAAAGGAGATGGACAGCAGCATCTTCCTGATAACAAAAATGTAACAAAAACTGAGGTTGCTAACCCGCTCGCCAAGCGTGACAACTATGGTAAACATCCCCCCCATGAGCAACGACACAAACAAACGGTCCCCAGTCCCCGGCAGCCCCGCTATTCCTGGCCACGGTAGCGACCATGATAACAGCGGGGCAGGGATTGCTAAGAATCTCCGGTGGAGGTTCGGTTGCTGTTGTTCGACTCGACCTGGCAACATATAACGCACGCACCCTGAAGACTGATGAGAATATGATGGAGTTGGAAGAATAGGTAGACAAGTTGCACTGGCATATTATTAGATTATCCGAGGTCCGAAGACAGGAGGAGGACACGATAATCCTCGAGTATGGTAACTTGTTCTATCACCAGGAGGGCGACCATTTAGGTCCCAAGGAGGTGTCTGATTTATCGTCCACAAATCTCTTGTCAACAACGTTGTAAAGATTGGGAGTGTGTCGACGAGGGTCGCGTACCTGATACTCAGAATCACCAAACGGTATTCGCTGACGGTCATACAGGTTTACGCATCGACCTTGGCACTTCCCGTCGAAGAGGTGAAGGAAATGTTTGAGCATATCTCAATAGCCATGCATTCCTCCAAAACCCACTATACAGTGTTGATGGGAGACTTCAACTCAAAACTAGGCACGAGAGAAAGCGGTGAGCTGAAGTTAGGGAAATTTGGAGTAGGGCAACGGAACCCTAGGGGCCAGCAGTTGGCCGAGTTTGTGGAGAAAGAGGGACTCTTTATAATGAACTCTTTCTTCCAGAAGCGGTTCCACAGGAAGTAGACCTGGTCGAGCCCAGAATATTCGACAAAAAATGAGATCGACTTCATTATGACAACCGGACGCCAACTGTTCAGTGATGTCTCAGTGATCACGAAGGTGAAAAGTGTGAGCGATCTAGGTTAGAAACACTGAACTTAAACGTTAAGTTGAAGAGGTCTAATCTAATAAAATCAACGCTCCATTCCCCTCGTGCGTTAATGCAGGGTCCCGAAAACTTTCAGCTCAAATTACAAAACCGTTTTCAGTGCCGAGAAGACTGCAATACAGTGGACGATATGAATGGCAAGCTTGTGGAAACTGTCTGTCGGAACTAAGTTCTGCAAGACCCGTCATAGAAGAACACAAAAACTCTCCGATCACACTCTTAATCTCATGGATGTTAGGAGGGAGAAGTAGCTATCGTCAGCAGATTTGAGGGCATACAGACAACTGAATAGACATAGCTCCAAATGCTTGCAGCAGGAATTCTGCAATTTCAATACAGCTCGTATTGAAGAAGCAATTACGCGAAACCAGGGCTCGATAGTTATTGCCAGAGATCTGTCTACCAGAAAGACCCAACTTTCAAAGCTGATGATTGAGTGTGGCAGCATCGTTTACAGGACACTTGAGATTTTGAGTGAGATTGAGAGGTTCTATGGGCAGCTGCTGTACATATCATCGTTGGAGCCACACGCAAGTGTGAGTAACGATCCAAGAGCCAGTCTAATTCAACACTATTCCGATGGTATCCCGGACTTCAGTCTGAGCTAGATAAGAATGGCTCTCCAGCACCTTAGAAACGGTAAGGCCACAGTGGAAAACCGGTACTTGAAGTCCTACAGAAACCAAGGCATGGAGCAGAAGTGCGGTGGTCTTGTTCTTCAAGAAAGGTGACAACGCTCTTCTGAAGAACTACGGACGGATATGCCTTCTGAGCCGCGTCTACGTGCTGTTTTCGAGAGTCGATGTTAATAGTGTATCCTTTCCAGTCCATTAGCTTGAAAAAATCTTCCAATGCAGCGGTGAAGAGTTTCTGGGAAATCACGTCACCCTGTCTTACATCTCTATGCAGTTAGATAGGTTTCGTACTCTGGTTCTGTACTCGGATAGCCATCGTAGCCCTACTGTACAAGCACTTCAGCACTTCGATATACCGACAGTCAACTTTGCATCGCTGAAGGGACTGTACACTGACACTGACACCACCCAAATTTCGACGGAATCAAAGGCTTTCTCACAGTCCAAATATGCCATGCAGAGTGGCAGATTGTACTCTTCGGACTTCTGTAAAATTTGCCAAAGGGTATGTATGTTATCGTATACGTTACGGTATATGTTTATCTGGGACAAATAGTCCGACTAGATAAGCCCAACTTCGACCGAGGGAAATTGCGACACATCTTCGCGTTAGGTATACCTCAAAACATGAAAACTAGTTTGTACAACCTATGTGTATTGGCATTGATTACTTATGGATCTGAGACGTGATCCTTCACTCCTGGCCATATGAGGACGCTCAAGGTTGTTCAGCGAGCTATGGAGAGCGCTAAGCTCGGGTTTTCTCTGCGTGATGAACATGATAAATGAGGATATCCGCAGTAGAACCAGAATGATTGACATATCCCAACGGATTAGTAAGCTGAAGTAAAACTGGACCGGCCTAATAGCTCGAAGAACCGACAACCGATGGAGAAAAAAGGGATCGCGCTTTGTGACATTCCTTGGGGGTGGCCAATGTCCAGCAGTGACTTGTCAAGCGCTGTAATGATGATTATGATGATCCTATATATATAAATATATATATATATATATATATATATATATATATATATATTTATATATATAGG